AGGCGCGCGGGAGCGCATCGGCGCGCCGCTGTTTATTCAACTGCAGCTGCGTCAGCGAGCGCTCTCGCGCGGCATCTGACTCTCGCTGTGCACCGCGCACTGCATTCGCATCGCTCCCGGCCAAACGTCGCTTCCATCAGCGACAGGAGCATGGATTCGACCTGTGCGAGCGTAAGGAGAGGAGGAATACGTTACCGGTCTCTCTCGCAAACGGTTCGGTGCGTTCGGGACAACACGACATCCGCGAGACGCGATGTGCACACAAAAGAAACTCACCCGGAGCGCACCCTTGTTTTCGACGACGACGAGGTGACGGTGGTGCAGCAAGGGGAGCGGGAGAGGGTGGCGATTTATCTCGGATGCGTGTCCGCTCTTTCCTCTCTCGAGGAACCGCGCGCTCGCTCGCTCGCAGGACGCCTTATAAGAGGCTGCCGCTTACGTCATCGGATCTTTGGGCCGTACCGGCCCTCCGAAGACCTATTACCTTATTTACGATTCGCACGGCCATTATCTCCCGGCAACAAAGTGAACCAGCCGGTTTTTCGATACTATCCGCGCGTACACTCGCCGCTGCGAAAGAAAAAAGAAGGAACGAAAGAAAGGACGGGGAGGAGGAGCAAGGCGCGGCGGGGGGAAACCGTTCGGACGACGAGACGAGTACAAAAGACACACGCACGACACGGCCGACGCAGCCCGAGCGCAGTTTTGCGGTCGCATGGCCGGAGAGTCAGAGAGACTTTTGTCTTCGCTCGTTAATAACAGGCGCGTCGTAACGTGCGAGAGAGAGAGAGAGAGAGAGAGAGGAGATACGTGGGCACTTCCAGACTGGAGACGCTCCTCTTCCGATACCCTGATATTATCGGGGTATATTGTCGGAATCGTCGATACGTTATGTAGAAATAACAGCGCTCATTCGCGGCCTCTCATATGTGCCGCCGTTCACGTTATAAATTAATTTTGCGGAATATAGCGGAATTGTCACAATGATCACGAATGATAACGATCGTGTGTGCACAATGTATTTCATTTCACTGAGAGAAAAGGATTCTTAATCTCACATGATAAAAAAACATTTTGTACCCGTGTCAAAATCGGTCTTCGGTTAATCTCTTTGTTAATCAACGCTGAAGTAGAAAATGTGTATCCGGACATATATACACGTTGATTATTTATTTAACGCAAAATGTTAAGATAACAAGCACAATATGTTAAGTTAACTAAGCAATTGTGTTAAAAGAACTCAAAATAATATTTCTAAATGATACACCTGTGGGCCTACTTTTCACCAAAAAGCAGAACTCCCACTTTAATATATAAACTCACAATACACTTTTATGTCAGCACAAATAAAACTTTATTCTTCGCCATTAATAGTTTATGTGTCTCTAACAACCGTTGTTTACTTAATCGTCTCTTCTTTTTTTTTTATCACATGGCCTTCTCGTAGGCAAGCGGCTAAATTGGCCGGTAACCTAGGACGCCTGTATTGGCAACGGAACAGTATTGATAATGAGGTCTACACACCACAGATATTAAATTACAAAATTTACATAAATATAACACATGAAAACATCACGAAAATGGTAACGTATCAGTTGTATGTTTTATATTGAAGTAATAATGAAGGGTTGGTAACACAGGAAAATTTTTAACATTTAGGCATACGATTTTTTACTTTGCAGCGACACTTTATTGTGTATACATAAAATTATCATCAATAACGCTATAATAGAGCTTAAAGGAAAGCCATTTCCCGGCCATAATTATATCGTCGAGTGTTACAATAAAAACATTATATTTGATTATGATCATAATAATGATCGCAGATATCAGGCACTTTTTTCTCAGCGCATAGCATAGCCGGTACGTCACGACGATAAGAGCCTACGCGAGCGGAGTTTCGCAACGACACGTTATTCTTCGCGTGTGCGAAACTGAAATCTCTCGCGTCGCGCTAACACCGACGAGGGCCGATCGAATACGCCATCTGAATTCTTGCGAAGCCGGAGTAGCAATTCCGCGGCAGCGTAAATAAGTACCATCTCAGGATAATGACCCGGTCGATGGGGGATCTCTAATTTGGGAATATGTGATTTAAGTTTCCGCGCGAGTATTTATAAATCGGCATTTACGTCAGACGCGTGCCTCGGCATGACGACGACGACGACCCATCGATCGGTCGGTCGTAGTTCCCTCCGATACCGTCGAATCTCACCGCGCAATTATTTACACATCCGCGTCTTTATTTCGGTCGTTACCCCAAGGAGAGTCACGCCAGCGAGAGGTAAGAAAAGACGGTGGAATCGTGTTTCGAGGAATGGGACGATCAAATTTTAAGAAGATTCCTCTCCTGCTGTCTTTCCGTTCATTCCACAATTTCTACCGTGCATCCCAAAAGGGAACACCCGAGAATCTCTCTCATCAACTAAGAACCACCTCGATCGGCGCGGAAAAAAAAACCATCTATCCGAAAATTGTTGGAATTGCGGGAAAAATGTGACGACGGGATACGGACATCGCGATATGGGAATATTTGCGCGGGAGAGCGCGCGCGCGAATGTTGGAGTATGTCGAATCACGAGGGGGAGAGGGTGAGTATAGTACGTTAATTAATTTCAACCGACGGATCGCCGTGCTCGTCGTTTCGGGATAAAGCGGGAGAAAGAGAGGGAGTTTTCGATGAACGCGAATTTGTCGTTGGCCGCGACACGACGCGCCGCGCCGCATTGTAGCGTTCCTGTGCCTCCGTGCCCCGCCGCGGCGCAACAACCTGTTCGATGACTTTTCCGTTTGATGATTGCAACAAGTGAGGCCCACCGTCGCGCTCTCTCCCGCTCCCAAACCATTTTACCACCGACAGCCACTCCCCCGTTTCGCATTCAACAAGTGGCCAAATCATTCAGCGCGGGGGCCGCAATCCCTCGAAAAATTGGAATTTTCGGTGCGCGCCGTCACTTGGCCAGTCATCGATCGATCTATCGAAACGTTATTAAGCTCTGCCGCGCGGTGGCGGGATACACCGCGAGACGCGAGAACCTCCGGCAGGCCGTTCCGAGCGAGACCGATCGACCGAGCGGACGGGATCATTAGCGTTCCGCCGTTTGCGCGACGCGATTGCTCCCCCCCCTCCCAGCCCCCCCTCGTGTATCGCGCGCGCGATACACACTCGATCTCCCGTCGTTTTCGAAAATCCACGCGCGAAACCCTCCCTCGGCCGGGATTGCGTGATGACGGTGTGCCAGCGGTCCGCTTTGTGAGAGGCGCGCGAGAAGGCGCGTCTTTTCGAAATTCGATTGACGCCCTTTCACCGCAAACGTAATCATTACTGTCATCGAAAAGCGCCGATCCTTTCCTCCGTAATTTCAGTCGGCGCGGCCGAGAGTGCCATTGGTGTGTTGTTACGCCTGTGTGTTCGCGCGCACGCCTGTGTGCGTGCACACATCCGGGACTCTCTGAAGAGAGAGAGAGCCTGTGGAGACTCGGACCTCGTGGTATCTGGTGGAATGGGTCTCATTAAGGACGCCTTCACAGCCCTTCATCCTTGGCTCTTGAGGTCCGCGCCTACCTTCCTTCGCTCTCTCTCTCTCTCTCTCTCTCTCTCTCTCTTCCTCCCCTGCCTCTCTCGCCCCCGCAAGACATTCGTTTTTTATACCTGGCTGCTCCCTGCTCGCATTTCTGGCCTCGGTCCCGCGCGTTTGCGTGCGCTTTATGTGCCCGAAGGCCATTCGACGCCTGGTTCCCTGTCATCTTCGACTTTAACCTCGTCGCGGCTTAAAGACGTTCCCAAAGGAGAGATATACGGGCCCGACGAAACGAGAAACTCTCTCTGTCTTTTTCTCTCTTTCTCTCTCTCGCGCCCGCACCTTTTCTGCCGCGAATACCGCGTTTAACCCTTCAGCCCGCGAGCACTGTGTGTTGTGTATTGCACAGTCGATATCGGACATTGTTGCGCCGTCAGCCGATGTAACTTAAATAATTGAGCTGATCCAACAAGAGAGAGAGAGAGAGAGAGAGAGAAATTTCTCACAACGTTTTAACCTCACGATCCACAATTATCCATTTCGTTTGGGACAAATAACTTGGCATGTATTTGAAACCATGCAAATAAAAAATTATGAATGTACGAATTCAAAATTAACCCTCAAATAACAAGGTTCATGTGGGCCGAATCCGGCCCATGGAAAATTTTGTGGATTTTCAAATAATTTTTTCGACACTAGGTACTTTTTATGCTAACAATAAGTTAGAAAATATTTAAAAGTAAGTGAAACAAAAATTTTTCGCGTCGAAAAATATGTAAAACACCTGAAACGCTTTAGCAGCATGTTCACGGAAGCATCAGAATATGGATCTGGTTGGATCCGAGCGGTCTTGTTATCCGTTAATAAATAAACAGTCAACGTGACTTTTAATACTCTTTCCCCGAATGCGAAGCGCTATCGGCGTTGGGATTAATTTACGGGAGGACGTACGCGCACCAGTAACGTCCAATCAAATTAATTGAGTGAATTCGCCCGGAGGAAACGTCCTTGATATTTTCGTAAATGAAGAACGCATCTCCGCGCATTACGCGTCGAACGAGCGGACAAGCAAGCCCAGGCAGACGGGCAGCCTCCGGTGGCATACGCAGCTCGAGCGAGCGCGCAGATACGATTGCTCCATTTATTCGTATTAATAGCGACGGGATCCGCACATGGACGGCTGGTGGCCCGGAGCTATAAGGATTAAACACAATGCCACAAAGTGGCAGGCTGCTTGTCGCGGATGCGGCTTATTCGTCGCGAGACGAGACGTTCCGCGCGGTTTTAACGCCCACACACGCGGAGCCGCACTGCGTACCTTCTCTCTTTCTTTCTCTCTTTCTCCCTCTCTTTTTTCCTCGTACCATTCTTCCCCCTTCCGTCCGACGGTGTCCTCTCGCGTCCCTCTACCCTGCGCCGCGCGTCCGCATTGTCGTACGTAGCTAATCGAATCCCTTCGTTTTCCCCTTTTTCTTGCAGGGTGGCGGCGGTAGCGGCGGGGCTGCGGGCGGACTGAAATTCACGGTGGCGGACACTTGCGACAGGATCAAAGAGGAATTCAGTTTCATCCAATCGCAGTACCATACGTGAGTATCTCTCCTTCTCGTTCGTTCGTTCTTCGTCCTTTTCGTACTTTTCCGCTTTTCTCTTCACCCCTCTTGCCTCCTCTCCATGTGCTACATGTCGTTCTTAGATTTCCGTTTCTCTTTGCCTTCCAACCTCCACCGTTCTTCCGTTTACGCTTATCGTGCTTTCCTCAACTTTTCGCGATCATCTATTCCGGGTATTCTTCGCTTTTCCCGTCGTGTGTCGCGTGTCTTCAACGACATCGGATTGTAGATCGTAGATTGTAGAGATGCCCGTTGACGTGCGTCATACGCGTTTTGATCTTTATCCTCAAACGCGCGACTTTCCCCCGGCGTTTTACGCGCGTTCGCAATTAGTATTTGTTTTATCTCTCAAAGCGGCGGTAATCTCTGCCGGTCTCGCAGCAGATCCGCGCTCTCTCAATCGCCTTTTATTTTTCACAGACTGAAGATGGAGTGCGAGAAGTTGGCCAACGAGAAAACCGAGATGCAAAGGCATTACGTTATGGTAAGGCACTTTGTAAGTTCCCTTTCCTGTCTTTCCACTTTGATTAAGTCTTATTACGTCTTTCTTCGCGCGAGCCCGGCGCAGCTCGAGCGAAAACAACTCTCGGGCGACAATTTGTCTCCCCGATCGTCCGAGGAGTGTCAACGGCGTATCGGTGAGGCACCCCCTCGTCGATTCTCGCGCGCGAGCTGCGAATCTTCGGGAAAATTCGTGCGTGAAAATAGACGAGTGCCTGTCGTCGGTTTCCTCGCGAGCGATCACTTAATTCGACGTTCGCCTCGGCTGCTGAAAGATGCAGCGGATTCGTTAAAAATAAGATCGAAATTCGATTATCGGTTTCACGCGCGTCGCGAAAACGGAGAAAGGGAGCCTCCCTCGCGTGCGGAATCCCTTCGAAGGCTCCCCCCCCCCCTCCCAGCCGTTCTCTCTTATTGGCGACGCGAAAACACACACCGCGGCGCGCACGGTGTTTATCGATAACGTGAGCATCGAGGAACCGGATATTATGTAAACGAGAGGAATTGTGCGAGCGTTAGAGCGCGAGAGCCAATCGTCCGGGGGGAGACACGGACAGGGATGGGGTAAAAACGATCGATATTATTCCCGCCTCATATTGCCGGCTCTTCGATTTAGTTCCATCAGCGCGAAGGCAATTAGTCCGGCCAACCGTACTAATCGTATCGTCATCGGTAAGGAGCTTAACTTGGACTTACCTATATTAAAGTGCAGTACTAACATGGCCCAAAGTATTCGCCGACTATCCGTTTCGCGTTTCCCCTCGCGCTTCGCTTCGCCTCGCTTCGCCTCGCTTCACGGCGAGTGGATGTTATTATTGTCATTACCGCGATATAGATTTTCTCCGCGTGAGACGCTGCGCGAGACTTCGCGGAATTCACAAGAAGGTAAGTCCGAAGTCGAAATAATTGCGATGATCGTAGTATTTATTTGAGAATCGTTCGCCAGAGAGAAAGAGAGATACGATTGTTGCAGTTTCTCTTCTTGTTCCTCCTTTCTTTACCTTTCTCAACGCGTGATATCGTCGGGAAGCAATATTCCACAGTCCGCTTTCACATTCGCTACTTAACATTCCGAGAGTAGGTAATTATTTCAGATTGGATCATGTTGCCCGTTGGTTTCGCCTCCCGTTTCAAAAGCGATATAGTAGATGCGGCGCGTTGATATACCGGAAATTGAATGCCTCGAATGAAATATTGACTCGGCCGTTTCGTCGCGAATCGCCGGTATAAAAAGTCACGCATCGGGGTGCGCGCGGACGCGATCGAATGGCAGCTAAGAATTCGCGCTGTAGAAAACAGCGCACGCGTGTCGAGAGTATATAATAAATGATACGCGAATCTCTTCTTCCTCTTTGGCCATTTTTTCGCAGAGGGAATTTTTCGTTTCGCGAAATCGCGCGACAAACGTCGTCACGGACCTCGAATGGAAATTTTGATGTTATTCTGACGTTCTTACGGCCGTTCTACAATAGCGTAAAGTATGCAGCAAGACGTAAGTAGTAAGCTAATTGACCAACTACAGTCGATCATTCTTGGACTGTAAGAGTCCAATTGGTCAATTAGTTTACTGCTTATGTCCTACTGTATACTTTATGTTATTGTAAAACGGCTATCAAAGGGTTCTGCAGTCGTCCATAGGACCGCAAAGGGTTAAGGATACAGTTTGTACCTACGTAGGTATATGGACTAGTAAAAGTTTACTTTGACAATACTGACACTTTTTAACTTCTCTTTTGAACCTTTAATTTTACCAATTGAATTTTAATGCCATCTTTAACAACTTATTTTGACGCCAAAACAGCAGAAACGGAAATTTAAGATATCATCAGGGTTAAAGTAGGAGTTATATTATATTAATAGAATTAAAATTGAACCTATTTTGCTATCTTAGCTCCTACTATGTTGTAGAATTAAAGATTTAACATAAGGCCACTTGGGACGTTGCCTTCGAGATTACGTGAAATGTTTGCTCCCGAATATTCCATGCTCTTCGTCCGCGCGAGCAAATCAAACTCGCGGGAGAGACGCATGTGTCAAGAGAGAAATAAATATATATACGCGAACGTATCTTTTCCTTTCTCCCTTTTTCTTTGGTCATTTTCTCGTCAGGGAAATCTCGCGGTTTCGCGGAATCGTGCGACAACATCTTCGTGGACGTCGCCTTCGAAGTTACATAAAAATTTCCCCCGGAATATTCCGCGTCTCGTCCTCGTCCTCGCATCCTCTCGGGCAAATCAAACTCACAGGAGAGAGAAAAAGAGAGAGAGAGAGAGAGACATGACGGTCGGGACCGAAAATGGGAGCAAAAATCAAGGAGTTTCCGCTTTTGTCCCGATACAAATTCAGCGCCGCGCGAGAATGCGCTCACGCGGGCGCGGGTTATGCATTTCTGCAAACCGCTTTCGAGATACGAAAGCGAACGGCACGGATTGGAGGGTCAATAACCCCGTTATGCTCGATCGTAGACACAAATTCTGGCGGAGCTCGAAGGCACATTTTGCAGTTTACTCGCTTGATTTTCGGGATCCCAGCAGCGGCGTTTGTAGAAATCAGAAATTGAAGCCGGGTATAATCTCGGCGGGTTTAACACACTCAGTGTGTGTGTGTGTGTGTGCGCCACAGCAGATAGAAAGGAATACGCCTCTCTCGCCAACGCCGTTGCATTTCCATTATTTACGAATAAATACGACGCCGGGGAGAGGGGGGGGGGGAGATATCGTATGTAATACGTTGTAGCGCGTATTGAAATCAGTACTCGCGGCTGTACAACGGTCGAAAGTGCGATCAAAGTTGCAGAGTGATATTCCGCTAATTGCCAATTTTGGGATACTTCATTATTCAACGGTCTCTCATTATTGCGGTTAATTGCGGGGAGATATGCGGTTGTAATTTTTGATACTCCTCCCCGTTAACTTTGAAGGAGAGAGAGAGAGAGAAAGCAAGTTCGTGAAATTCGCGAGGTATTCTAACACCAGGTAGTTCGGATTTGCGCAGTTAATGCAAATTACCTAAGAAATGCAAATCCGCGCTCGCGAAGCGCCGTTGGTGCTTCTTCGTTTTGCGCGTACCAAGGAAAGAGAGAAAGAGAGAGAGGGAAAGGGTAGGAGGGAGGGAACGAAACGACCGTTTTGCGCGAGCGCTTCGCGTTTACACCGCGATTTCGGCGCGTCTTTGAACGCGCGAATTAATAACCGGCTGGAAAACGAACCGCGCTCGGCTGGTAGATCGATGTCGCCGCTGTAAACGAGGGTATCCTCGATTCTCGAGGTCCTACACCGCCGCCTGCTGTACGGCCGATCGTAATTGTCGCGAACTATACTGTCTCCTCTGTAAACTGCTACACCGATGTGACACCGTGCAAGCAACCAAGCAGCAAGCTGGGCCGAGTGGAAGGGAGTCGGGGGTGCTAGAGGGAGTGGATAAGGGGGGTCGGAGGTGACAGAGGGGTTGATGGGGGTTGGGAGTTGAGCCGGTAATCGATATCTCCAAAGTAAACGAAGAGAGAGATAGAGAAGGGGTCGGGAAGCAGGGGGTGGCGGCAGGAGGTGGAGGAGGTGATGGAGAAGGGGTAGAAGTGGGAGGCGAGCGGGAGCGAGAGAAGCAAGGCTCGTCGAGGGAAAAGGGAATGGGAGAGAGACGGATGGATGGAGTGAGAGAGAAAGAGGGGGCGAGAGACACAGAGAGAAAGAGAAGAGAAGAGAGAGAGAGAGAGAGACGAGGACGGACACGGGCAGAGGGACGAGCAGGAGAATTACAGAGACAGAGAGAGAAATTGATGTCGAGGGTTTGTCAACCACCGACAAGTATTATATACGTGCAAGCCGTAGACGCGGGCGAGGGTGAAGGGGTGTTAGTGCGCGGCACAGTACGTATACACGCACATACACACACACACTCCGCCATCGTGTCTCTGATATTCTAATTCCACCCTCGTGTATTCCGACCGCCTCCTCCTCCCATTTCTTTCCGTCACCACCACCACCACCGCCGCCGCCGCCGCCACGCGCGCGCAAGTTCATCCTTCGCGATTTTCATTAGGGTAACGCGCCGCGTAAATCCGCGCGCCGCTTCAATTTTTACCCCCTTCTATCCTGTGACTCTTCTTCCCCCCTGTCGTTCCCTCTCTCTCTCTCTCTCTTTTTCTCGCTTCGCTCTTTTGTCCGCTCCCACGGATCATCGCCTTTCTACGTCGTTACGCGATATCTTTCCCTTCTGTCGAGACACCGCCGACCGCGTCGAGCTTTCAGGGATTTGATTAATATGCTCGCACCTCGATTTGTTTGCGGATCAGGTCAATCCTCGATTATCCTGAGGCCCGTAGAGTTTTCGTGGAATTTTGAGACGGTCGATGTATCAAAAATAGAAAAGTATAATATCGAATGTACAAAGACGCCGAGTATATAAGGAGGATCCACCGCCTCTTTCACGTGGGATACATTTTTGTCTCCGTCTCCCTTCCTCTGTTATTCGATCTTTCCTTTATTCAACGTTCATATATCCGCTCTGCGGATCCCAGCAATTTTTATTTCCGCCTTTATTTATTATTTGATCTCCCCCGAGTCATTGTTCGTGTATATCCGCGCTGCGGATTCGAGAAATGTATTTTCGGAAAGTAATATTTCGTAGGAACGTAATCAAGGATACAGAGCGGGGAAGAGCGATTCGGCCGAAGTTAAACTCGCGCTCCCGAATAACTCCGCGATTCGTCTTTCGCCGAATGTCTGTTTGTCGCTCCAGTTTATACGCTCCGGAACTCCCTTATCTTCATCTCGCCAACGAAAAAAGGTAGGAAAATTCGGGGCGGCGTTGTAAAAAGTTCCCCACCCCGCTGCGCGTCTCCCTCCTCCCGCAGCGATCACGATCGCGATGTTTCAGCTCGGACCCGGGGAATAAACAACTCCGACGCCCACGAACGTCTGACATGCTCCAATTATTCGCGCTCACGAATTCCACACTTTCCTCCGCATTCCTCGAATTTTCGCGCCGCCTTCCGCTCGATTGCTCGCAGGAGCTTCATATTTTTATCGCGACAGGTTGCGGCGCGCATCGTCGGCGGTGAATTAATTCTCCGGAGTGTAGCTTGAAACGAGGTGGCCGCCGAGCGTCATCCCATCAACCCTCCTACTTTGTCCCGGGAGGAGGGCGCGGGAGGAGCGGGAAGAGTATGAGAGGGAGGAGTAGCGCCGTTCCGTATCGTCGAAAACAAACGGGGCGAACGGAAAACTCCGAGCCCCCGGGCCGTCGGAAAATTAATTTGATTTCCGATACGCGAATGTAATGATCGAACGAGAGAAAGGGAGAAAGAGACGGGGCGCTCAATGGCACGGGGAACGGTCGGCCGGAGGGGGACAGGGGATACAAAAAAGGGATGGAACGAAAAAAACCTTATCGAAAACGGGCCCGGGGTCGTCGCGCATCTCTCCGGCCTGCCCGCGAACGAGAAGACTTTCCAATTATCTATGTTTTTTCTCCACCGCGTTTTTTCGCGCTGCAACAAATTAAACGTAACCCACATCCCTGGGGCACGCTTCTCGATTACTCTTTGTTTTCCTCCTGTTTCCACGGTTCGCCGTTTGCTTTCGCGCGCGCGAGCGGGCACGTCTGGCAGATTGCATTTCCACTCCTCCTCTGCCCTGCGCTACGCTATGCTACGCTACGCTGCGCTCTTCTCTCTCTCTCTCTCTCTTCCTCCCTCCCTCCCTCCCTCTCTCTCTTGCTCTCTTTTCTCTCTTCTCGCGGAAAAAAATTTTTTTTACACCGACGCTCGCGAAATTTTGCGACGCTACGCTCCGAGCGTGATGGGCGGTTTGGCCGACGGCGCCGCGATTGTTCCTTTACGCGCGGAAAATAACTTTAGAGGTCTCGGCCGGGTGAAATAATACTTGCGGATTCCTATTTCGTGTTTCTGGAGCGTACACGTCGTTCTGTAAATTACGTCTAAATACGTGAACGTATTTCTTACATGTAATCGCGGCGAGATGATCAGATGTGGCTTTTTTAAATCTATTATCGATCCACCGCACATCGTGAGACGATCTCGCGAGAGGGATCTTTTCGGCGCAGCCGCGATTGACAACGTCGATTCCGCTTTTTCATATGCCCCGCAATTCACGGGCTTTGACGAGAAAATACGAGTCGCCAATATGCGGATTGCCCGTGAAGAGGGGATCTCCCTCGCGGGCACGACTCACGCGCTCGGCGCGAATCGCGCTCCGACTTATTAATTATCCTTTTAATTATCCGCGGGTGTTGCGCGCGCGTGTGAAATTTCCGCGAGGCGAGTCAAGAGTGGATGCGAGCGAAAGAGGAGGAGGAGAGGTAAATGGAGGTACGCGCGGGATGAGAGCCGGCGAAAGCGACGAGCCGAATCGGAGTGCGGTGCGACCAGAAAGGAGAACGGAGAGACACACAGAGAGAGAGAGAGAGAGAGAGGGAAAGGGGTGAAATGAGGGAAAATGTCGAGAGCGCGCTACAGAAGCGAGAGGAGGGGGAGGAAGGGAGGTCGCCCGATCACCCTATCAAAGGCTCGCTACTAAAAGATCCATATCGAGTAACCGGAGGGGGCGAAATTATCGGTACAACTCCTATTATTGGGTTCCGAGGCACGTGAAAATAGAAAATGAGAGGCGGACAGATGGAGATCGATACCCCGCGGAACTTGTGCCGTCGAGAGAGAGAGTTTTCTCGTTATTTGATTACCGACTTACACCGACATCTTCTCCCGCCCCCTCCCACCCCCTCCTCACGGGCCGTCCGAGTCAAACTTCGAAGCGCGTGGGAGCGAGGCTGTACCTCGTCGACGCGAACAAGCGCGCCGACACATCGCCACCACCACCACCATCGTCGCCACGGCGGTGGTATCCCAATCGTATCGATCTTAAAGTCCGATTAACAATCGCGCTGTAATCTCATCCGAGTAATTGCACACGTTGCTAGACATAGGAAGGATTTTATCGATCGGGGCTCCTTTATAGACGACTTTGCTGTGTGTTAATTATATCGCAGTGATCGTGCAAACATCGTTAGTAATAATCGTGGCGCAACTCACTCGTTTCCCCGCGCGGTCCACGCGCACACTGACAAACCCATTTATTTGACCGAAACTAAATTCCTGTTTGGGCATACAAATGTTTTGGTTAGAAGAACCAAGGCTTGGCTCTCTGAACCAAAGCTTTTTCATTTTTGTTTCCGGAGAACCAACCCGAATCGAAAAATGTTGGTCCTACATTAAACTTTTAATTCTACAGCATAGTAGGAGCTAAAATAGCAAATTCAATTTCAACTCGAGTAATGTAATATAACTCTTATTCTGACCTTGATGATGTGTTAAGTTGCGGTGTTCGCTGTTTCAGCGTCAAAACAGGTTCAGTTGAAGGTAGCATTAAAATTCAATCTGTAGGATTAAAGGTTCAGGAGAAAAGTTAAAAGTGTCAAAATCTTCAAAGTGGGTTTTTACTAATTTACAGGATGGATCATCTATATTGAGGTGTCTAAATAAAAATTAAATAATGCTGATTGAATGACTTACGTTGCTAATTAGAAGATGCGCGTTGTAAACAATAGCACGACTCGAACGACCAGTCTGTAACATAACAGATATTCAGTCAATCGCTGAAAATCAAATGTAGTATGAAAGTGAACACTAGTCATTTCGTTGTTGTGTACGCTGTGAAAAATGTTCCTTCATGTTCTCTGTTTCCTCTTTATGTTTTCCGTCATTTGACTTCCAACGACTTTGAGTATGACAAATTATTGAATTTATTGAATTTATTGAAAAGAGCTACAAACATAGTTATCTAAAAAAATTAGGATGCTATCAAAAAAGATGAAGTTAATCTTCATTTCACTTTGATACTCCACCCGAAGGTCAAACCAATAGCATCACAATACGCCCCCTTTGAAACTCTACAATTTTGTCTGAAACCTTTTTTTTTTCATTTTGCTTTATTTTTATTTTTTTTTAATTTAGACGTCTCAATATAAATACTTCCATCCTGTATAGTCCGTCTAAATAGACGCCAGATATCTTTGAGAGCGTAGAGTAGTATCAAAATTTCGATTTGGGAAAGCTTTGGTTCTTATAACCATACGTTATTTGCTCATATCCGAACCAGGAATTTAGTTAAATCAACAAAATGAGTTTCTCGGTGCCTCCACCCTCAGAAAACACGACGAGCAATAATGAGAGCCCCGAAATCTCCGAGACACGCGAATGTCCGACAGCCTCGGACGGGACAAATTACCATCTTCCATTACTACTCCGTGGCGGTGGTGGTCGCGCGTGCTTTTTCGAGGACGGCCCGAGAGCTTCGAGGAAGCGAATTATCGAGTCACCGTGTTTGTTGCGCGATACGATCGTCCAGCACCAACACCACCTCCGGCATCTAAACACACACACACACCGACGCGCGGACGCGGAGACGAGGCGCGCCGGGATCGTTTTGCAAGGAAAGCAGGAGAAAGAAGAAGAAGAAGAAGGCGGCTTCGCGCGAGCCTTGCACCAAGTTCGCCGGGCGTAGTTATCGACTGCATTATTAAGTCGGTATATTTCCGTGGCCGATGCTATCGATCTCGGCCGAGTATCTCTCGGCTTGGCCTGGCGTGTGCATTGCCTTCTCTCTCTCTCGGTAGACGGGCAAACCGACCCTCGGAGCCATCCGTTCCCGAACGAGCGGCTAAAGGCGGACACGCGCGGCGTTAAGCGACAGCCACTAACCGATTTACGATCGCGCGCAAGCGCATCCACCGATCGTACGCCCGGATGCAGTTCACCGAGACGAATGTGCAGGCCGGGGTCGTAACGGTCTTGCGAGAGGGGCCTGTTCGGCCCTCGCCCGCAGAAATTCGCCCGCGAGAATGCACCCCCGGCCGGGTGCGGCGGCGAGATCGCGCCTGCCGATCCATCGATCGTTCCGAGCGATTCGATACGTCTCGGGAATGTCGCGCTTTCGACGTACATACGGAGGGGAGATCGTCTCACAATCGGCGGAATGGGCTGACTCTCCGAGCCGGCGACTGCTCCCCGTTGTCGCGTAATATTTTCTCGGCAACGTGTGAGCGAATGCGCGCACGATCGCGGAATTAGGATCTCGCGTGGCGGCGCGCGTTATTCGCGGGTTTTCATTTTCAAGAAAGGGTCCGCGCGCGGTAATGCGTTCCCGAACGAGCGCGCTCGGTGCTCAGCTGCGGCTAACCAATTTATGATCGCGGCCGCGTATCTCCAGCACGCGCGCGCAGTCGTCAACACAGGAGACGCAATAATCTTTCCATCTCTCTCTCTCTCTCTTTTTTCCTCCTCCTCTTCCTTTCACAAATTTATGCACACCGTCCGCTATTTTAATCGCAAGATACTTCATAGCCGACGGATTTTAATCGGCATCGCAATCGCAGGATTGATAACCGTGTGTCTCTTTTGTTACAGTATTACGAGATGTCGTACGGCCTCAACGTCGAGATGCACAAGCAGGTGAGTTTCTCGCACGGCCCGCGAGAACATTCCTCGAAATATCGCGGTGATGATGTAGCATAAGCACTTTCGGTGTTATTATGTTCCTCGGGAATCTCGTTCCGCCGTCGTAACGTCCTTCCGAGATTGCCTCCGCCTGCTGGCCGCGCCGCCGAGGAGGTTAATCGCGAGATATCACGTTGGACGCGTTTTAAGGGTTATTCACGAGCCCGGGCTGCCTCGTTAATTGAGCCCGGAGTGTGTGAGTGGATCGTCGGAATCGGCCGCGGCCGCAAATGAGGGGTGCGGGCGCGTTTAGGCCGGGAAATCGTGTAATTTCGGCTAATCAGGGGAAACAGCGGTGGGGCGGTCCCCTCTGTCAGCAATTTTCTTAAAAGCGACCACGAGCCCCTCGTGTCGCGGCGACGACGGCGACCCCACCACCGGCGGCTCAAAAGTAGTAGGGGCTCCCGAACTCCAAACAACCCTCCCTGCCTCGGCACAACGAGCTGATATTCATTAGCATTAGCGGCCGATCATTTCTCACCCTCGTACCCCGAGGCAGCGCTTAATGGGCCGAGGCGGCGGGGAAGGAGGGGAGATATACCTTGTCGGGTAGTTGTAGGACGTAGCGTGGCTCCGAGAAAGAGGGAAGGAAAGAGAGAGAGAGAGAGAGAGGTCGGCGCGGAATTGTTTCCGCCGGCGAGTGATGCGCGAGAAATCAGAGCGTCGCTATTTTCGAGATCGACCTCGCAGCGGATATCTCGCGATGCGCGTCCGTTGAAGCTGTCTTTTAAAATCGGAACGGCAGAAGGGACGACAGGCGGGATTATTAAGCTCTCGACCGTTGATCACGGGTATTGGTAAGCGTCCACGTGACGCTTTCGTATTTTTCATCAGTCGCGGATTATAATCAGGTCGTCGTGCCTGTCGCGAGAAGATTACGGTAACGTCACGTAATGTTGCGTTCAGAAAAAGATAGAGATGGGGAGGGGAGAGGGGGTAGAATTCTTTCGCAGAATATAGAACGTAAGATGCAGAGAAAGCTTTTCTTCTGGAATATCGGGAGCCGCGTTTACTTTTCTCGATAAAAGTTATATCGTCGAAATAATTGGATCGGACCTTTGAGCCCGCGACGAGGCTCCTTACGACGAAATCTGTCAACGCGTTCTCTCACAGTTTCCTCGCTGGTTAAATTGTCGGGATAATGAGGTGTTAATAAAAATCGGAAAAGTAAGGCCGCCGCGGGATCGGCGGGAAATCAAGTCGCGGGACACCGCGACTGCACAAATTGCATCGGGAGGTGATATGACGCGACGGAGCTGCTCCTCTGACGCTAATTGGAAGAGAAATGAAAAGTTATCGGTTCTTGGTGACTCGCTAATTAACCGTGATAATATCACGCCGATGCCATGCGCTCTCTCGATGGACAGTGACGCACAGTCGAATCTCTATCGCCGGCTTATTTATTAGTAATCGCGAACGTTTGAAGAAGATTGTAAAGCTCAGTGCCGTGTTTTCGGTGACGAATTAAGGGCTTCGTAAGTTTAGTATTTATCAAGAATAATTACGTGCCTATACATTTATCTCACTACCTAAATGATAAACGTTAATTTGAAACGAAGTTGAGGTAAACATATATACGTGATATTACAAATACGAAAATATTTTTCTTCTTTTTTATCAGTGCTATATTTGTGAATCGGCTGATCCAAATTCTAAATCTCTTCAGAGATGCACAGATAATAATAGATGTATAAATATTTTAATATATGTATATGTACATGTATTTCGTACATGTATTTTCATTACTATAAACTATGAACTTTGCATTGCTTATTTTCAAAACAAAATAGTCAATAATTTCGACATTTGTGTAAAATATCTGCGAATTAATCTTTAATATCATCATAGTAATTTAGGAGATATTAAAAATGGAACGCTAATTTTAAAGGATACATATAATATGTCAACTTTAGTTGCAAATATCTCAGCTTTCGAATGGTTAATCTTTTTCTAATTGCACGAACAGTTAGATAATATTTCAGTATATACGTAGTGCAAGTTTCTTTTTTCATCCAATTCTTGTTCTATTTTCGCTTTACAACTTCTTTAAGACGGCCTATACACGACACGCATCTAAATCTCATTTGCACATATAATTATGTAAACGCTCGATTTCTCATCGATCTCTTCTCCCCGTTTCTTTCATCCATCGTCGGCAACTTAATTCACACACCTCTTCGGAAAAAAAGGAAAAAAACTTATTTATTTCTCTCGTCCCGAAACACGAGTCTCACTCTCTCTCTTTCTCCCTCTTTGCTCGGTGAAAAGAGAAAAAATAAATAAATCAGGCCAGACCCTTCAGTCGGTCCCCGCCACTTAGCTGGCTTTCGAATCGCGGTTTTCTCGCTCCTTTTCAATTTGAGCCCCGAATGAAAACAATCTTTCCCTACGAAGTTAGATCCTTCTGTGTCTCCGTCTCATCTCCTTTTTTCTTTCCTTTTGCTCTCTCTCTCTCTCTCTCTTTTACGGCAACAGCCACCCCTTTCGTTTTTACCCTTTTCACTCCTCTTCGCTCTTCGGGCAACTCTCTCTGCCCTCGTTTCTCTCCCCTCTTCCCGACGCCTTTTCTCTTCGCTCGCTCTCCGCCGCTCGCACCCCGCCGTTGTGTTCTTCGCCACTCTGCAACGCTACCCTTCGAATTCTAGCCGTCCCTCGCATCTGCCGCGACCCTCGTATCTCCCGCCACGGCTCCAAGTCGACATTTGCCTCTCACCCTACCGTGAAGCTCGCAGCCACCACCACTTTACCACTCCCTGCTCGGCTAACTCGAATTTGTTGGCGATGTCCCAATTCTTGTAGGCACGATTACTTTTCTCGCCCCGTCCGTCCGTTCATCCGACTCACTCCTGTCCGTCCCCTTCGTGCGCGCAGTCCTGGGGTTTTTTTTTTCTTTCGGTCATCATTACTCGAACGTTGATCAGCTCGCGTGCGATTTCACCGCACGTTGTAGCTCGCGACTAATCGTTCATTAAGATTCTCGACATAATCACCGAAAGGATGACATTTTAAATAATAATAATAACTTTATTGGACGCTATAGTTATAGAATTGTACGTGGAACAAGGAATTATTAATAAACTTTGTGTCCAAAAGGCAGCAGCACTAATGCTGATATCATTGCCTCGCCAGAGAATATGATAAGTAAATTACAATAAATTAAATATATATGTATGTAATACGCAGCGAGGTAATACGTTAATTAATATTCGATGCAACGTATTCCGATATGGCAGAGCGGAAAGCTGCAAATGAGGGGACAGGACAAGCCTCATTAAGCAACAAATTATAATATTTGACTGCTTGACATGAAAATGCAATGTGGAACTTTCCTGTACGGTGTCGGGGAAAAGTCAATAGACTCTGATGTTGTGTGTCATACGAATCGTCGCCATGGAAGTCGGAGTTTCGATGGAGGAGGTCGTAGACGTACTTTCCGAAAAACCTCGCCACCCTTCGATATCGACGTCGATGACCCTACGACCTCGTCTTGTTTACTTTCAAAAAGAGACACTCTTCTCGAGTTCGAGTTCGTAAAGGAGAAACATCTCGTGGTTTCGTCTTTCGTTAACGAGGCGTCTCGTCCTTACAATAAATGGAATTAATAAACGATCCCATACATAGGTGTCAGTTTTACGGAGCGCCCCGGAAGGAGCGGCGTCGGCGGAGGACTCGTCGAAATTATAATCCTCCGGATTATCGCTACGTCGTCCGATGACATCGGGCGACGGGGCGCTTTTACTCGGCTCGAGTCGAATCGCGACGCGTGTTCGATCGGGCTCTCGCCGGATTCCATCGCGTGATCTTCATGGGAAATGAGATTTCGCAGTCGATGCGGCAATCGAGAAAAATGGGCGGCTCGACAAAAAGCGCCGTCGACCGCGCAAAAGGAAAGCGCGGAAAAGAAAGGGCGGGATAAACGGCGAATCGGGCTGCCGCCGTCGGAGAACGGAGGCGGCGGAGGTGGAGAGCTAAAAATCACATCGCGCGGCGACCGTGTCCGTCCATCCGCGCGTTATGTTACGTTCTCACTCCCTCCCCCCTTCCCGCGTTCATCCGTTGAGTCGTACGTATGTACGTACTACGGCCGGCGTATCTGTCCGATAACGCTTATCGCTTAATTGAAAGGGTCGTCCTTCGGCTCGGCCGCCTGGTCGTTGGTCTCGCTCGATTAAGCCGCGATCCACGGCAATATGTCGCGGATGCGTAACGCCAAGCACGCGATCCGGCCACCCCTTCGGCATTTTCAGCGGACTCATCGTCACGAACCTAAAGAGCCGGGGGGAAAGTCGGGGTGATTATAAACGGCCCGGGCGACACCCGGGCGGGAAGAACCGGTGGGCTGGTGAGGAGGGCGGAACAACTTCTGGAAATTGTGCTTCGCGCCGCGTCGGGCGGGGATAAAGTGAGACGAGTCGGTCGTTCACGGGGATGTTTGTTCCTGTTTCGATATTACGACGGTCACGCTCAATAGGCGCCTACGTTTCAATGCCGTGGAAGTGTTTACGCGAAAGGGGGGACAGGGGCGAACGTTAATTTCCACTCGCGTATCGTTCGTTTTTGAAACGGCTCGTCGAATTTCGCGAGTCCCGCGGATACGAGCGCTCCTCGACTTGTCGTGGAACGAAATTTGCTCCCGATCCCGAAATGACCGCGAGCTCGAGATCGCGTTTGCCGTTATCCTCAAAGAGAAAAGCGGACTCAGGAAACGTTGCGAATTACGTTCCTAACACGATCCCATGAACGGGAATTTCGAGTCGGCGGCGGCGTTCTCCCGAAAAAGCGCGAGTATCTCTTTGAAAGAATATTGCCGGCGTTGTTGCTGGCGTTGTTCGTCGATACGAGAGTAACTACCATTTCCCATCGCGGGTACGCCCGGCGCCCGATAAAAAATGTGCAGGCTGACCAATTGCATATAACTCACCCTGCCTTTCCAGTTCTTCCTGCCTTCATGCATATATATGTCTATCTATCCGAGCGCTCTGTCTTCTGCTCCCCCCCCCCCCC